ATTTTTTGTGAGACTAACACTAAAACATTTGAGCTCAAATGCTTAAATAAAATGAAAAGGGTTATTGATATAGTCCTACGCATGGATATGCAGAAATGCATTCAATATTGATTTAAAATGCCCTTTACAACGTGAACATAGCATGAATTTTAAAAGGTCACAAAGAATACACTCAGTTTGCTTCTCATTTGGCTGAGCCTGACCTCTCTTGTGTACTTGCCCCCACGTCCCCAATTCTTTTACAGATTTAATGAAAGCTTTTCCCCATGCAGAGTTCCCACACTTTTGAAAAGAAGGTTCTGTAGCCTTATGCCTGAGATACTTAAACATAAATTTGCCAGGGTGTATTGGCAGAACAAAATGAAGACCTGGCAGGGAAGCTGTTTAAATAGCTTTGTCTTTTCTTGTCTCTAATTTATAGTCATAACAGATAAGGGACATCTATATGCAAATTTTTAAGGCTGATGAAATATAGAAACATTATAATTCTGTCTATTGAATAACTTTGAAAAGTTGGAGTATTCCAGTAAAATGAATTAACGTGAAATACTTGTGTAGCTTTACAATAGCAGTGAACAGTCATGAGACATTTGTACTGGTGTACAAGAGCTTTTAGATAACCCGTCCTCCAAAAATCATTTGCATAAAATGTGCATCAGGTAAGTATATATCAGTATATAAACTGTGCTGCTGAAATGATGAAATCACCAGAAAATGTAGATAACAGGTTGAATGCCCTTTATTTGTTATCTTTATCCCTTGATGGCACAATGTACATATTAAAAATAATTATTAAGTTAGCTCCTGCATGCTGTTGTTAACAGGTGTGTTTGTCCATAGGGATTAGCTTGTCCTTTTGAATATGCTATCCTACAATTGATAACTCTGCTTACTGAGCCAAACACCAAAATGCTCAAGTGGTGCTCTGGTATCTCCAGTGTCAAAAACTACCTGTTTAGCAAGGTAAATACAAATTCATAACATAAGCATGTGAGACAAAACCTGCTGATGCTCAATATTTCCAATATAATGAACCCTAAACCATTAACGAACAATTAATAAAGATAATGACTTACTAGATTAGTGTTAACTAATGGGTATCCACTCCTGCTAACAATGGAAAGGAAAGACAAGCAAAGCACATAACAATGGTTTATAGGTATATAGTTTATTACCAAAAGTGGTTTGACTTATCTAGATATTGATAGCAGCCATTCAGCAGTGCTACCAATTCCCATATAGCCCAGTTCACTTATACGTTAACCATGTTAAGCTTGTGTGTTCTTTTTTTTTCTTTTCATTTTTTAAAAACTGCAGATTTCAATAGAAATTGTCACTTTTATATATTAACCTGGTCATACCTCCACTCTCTCCTGTTGTCAATTAGACAACTTGTTTTGTTACTTCCTGGTTTGTTTAGCTCAGTGGAACTAAACTCATGATGCAGAATTTGCCCAGAGCACTCACATTGGGGAATCTGTGATTGGACAGTCACAGAAAGTCTTGGTTTGAGAAGAAGTGGAGGGCTTGAAAATGCTGTAAACAATAGGTCTAGAATTAGACTAGCAAAGTACATTTCCCTCTACTGATGAATACAAACTGGTCAAATTTTTTTATAAATAGTGTACCTATTGTATACACTGATTCACAAACATACTTTAAACATTAAAAGCATAGATTGCCAGAAACAGCACTCATATTGAAAGTATCATTTGTCCATCATCTACATTTTAGAGATACAAAAAGCATTCATCACCTTCATGAATGAATGTACTTTCTCAATAAACAATACATTTCTTAACCTTTGGTAACAGAATGGCTTGAGTTAATATACACAAATATACATGTACAGCTATTTGTTTTTTTTGTAATATTAGTATAGGTAATTAAAGTGGTGGTAAAACTTTTGCAGCATACAGGATAAATGGAGCCACAATGACCTTCAAGGGTTACTCCAACCATTGTGACCAAGTGTCCATGGTGGTAGGAGACTGGATGTGCAGTGTTTCAGCTTGAATTCTGGGCTGCCCATTGTAAATTATTTGCCTACTTTACGTCTGTCCTTGGAGTGCACTGAGCACTGGCAAGAGACTTCACTGCTTCTCTAAATCAAAGTTTTATTTGGTTTTGCTCCTGCTCTCTATCCTCCTCCCTTTGCCATCATGCACGCATGTGTTTAAATGGCTAATTCAAAAGCTTCTCTATGAAGCCTTTGATTGGACCTCCATGTGGCTCAGATGTTGGCATGCAGATCAACGCTATGAGTTTTGCCCGGCTCTGTATTAAGATAAGTAAAAGCTCATTTTGAACATTTTTATAGTGTCTTTGAGGGATCTTCAAGGTATTATTTATTAAAAGCTATTGGAAAAATTAAATCTAACCAGTAAATCTAACCAGTAAAATCAATGAATTGAAGACTTCATAGTGTTTCAAATCATGAGATTTTGCTGTTAGAATTGTTGAATTGGAATAAAGCATGTATATACCTAGAAATTTGAATTAGACTTCACAAAACTTACAAAATTAGCCTAGATTAATCCATAACCTTTATATTAACTCTGTAAATTTTGGGGTAGAGCCTGACCTTTACACTGATACAACGTGTCCTGTATAAACTCCCATTCTCTGCACAGTTTTACCAGTGATATCTCTGGCTACCAGGCAATGATTAATTCTATAAGGTCCTATCTGCTCTGCTGACACCTTGCCCGACTTTTTTGACCTTGAGGAGCTCGAGGCAGAATGGTGCGGCCTGCATGTAGCAAAGCTGGGGAAAGTTTCCAATTTCCTCAATCTCACTTGAGCCTTACAGCTCCATTATTGTAACAATCCCTCTTCCACCCTGGACCAGTGGGGGATATCCTAGTCCCCACTGTAGTTGACCGAGCTAAATCAACTGCACTTACCTCCTGATCCAAGTTGCACTCCAGCTGCGCCTCGACAGAAGATGGCAGATGACAGAAATCTTCCCAACTCAGTCTTGCAGAATCTAGACCCATTCCAGCAGCCCCATTGTGGATCTCTAGATCACATATTGCAACACCTTGATGAAATATTCAGTGGCTTCTGGCAGAAGCTACTGGAGCCTCAGAGAGTCCCAGGGGCTAAGCTGTGAGCAGTACGACGACGCACTCATGTGCTGGTGAAGAGCAGACCCCCTCAGGGCAATTCAAGACAGCGAGTGCACACTCATCCTACCCTTCTAGGAAAAGAGCCTCAGCACACCATCCTCAACAGTGGAAGATCAGTCATCGACAATGGCATTTCCCATCTGCATCTTCAAGCTCCGCACAATGGGGCAGAGACTTGGTAGCTAAATACCTTGAAGTTGGTGGATATTGGATGCAGGTCATCACTCAGGCCTGGGGCAGGAGGGGAACCCCGCTCTGGCACAACAAGTGGCCCTCCACATGAACTCTCGTGGGCCTACAACATTTATGCCACTTAAAGGGATAGGCTGATTTAAGATTGGAGTCCATTATAGTGATAACACTGCTAACCTGTGTTGTCATACTCTATCTGGCATATAAATAATGTTTTACAGTTTTCTTTTCCTTGCACATTTTACCTTGTATAGTGCAGTATTAGCGTGATGTTAGACAATTCATTGGAAAATATAAAGGTTAACTTGGATTATGCAAAATGCTCCTCATGCTTACTCAATGGCTTTTTTTTGCCTTTCATTCCTCATGTCTACTATTCCCACTTTTAATTACATATATTGTGTTATCTTAATGCTTAGACATGAGCCTTCAGCATGACTTTTAGTTAAATGGCACTGTTGTGGCGGAACCAACCTCGCCACTATGCACTGGAGAAGCCTGGTTGCTCACCTGCTCCCTTTAGATTATGGCCCTGCAGTTCAGACCTGTTATTTTCCCTGCTGAAAGGTTTATTTGTGCCTTTCTGCCGGGGTGTTCGGTAGATTCAATCTACAGAACAAACTACCGAACGATGGACCACATGGGAACTGGAGTGTGCCGTCAATTGACCGCCCAGAAGCTGCGGTTAACCGCAGCTTAATTGATGAACGCTAGGTGGCCTTTGTTCAGTTGCCGAACACGTGGCAGCGGCCATTTTACCTCCCGAACAGCCAGCGGTGTTCAGCGCCCAAACTATGAAACTGAATTCGGACACTTATTGGCGCGAACACCGCTGAGCCGCCAGCCTCCTTACCTCTCCATTCGGTAGCGGAACCGAATGACTGTTCATTTGGTAGTTTAACCGGATGAACAGCATCACCTCAGATAGCTAAGCCATGAAGCCTATTCATCTAACGAAAGACTATGTGAAAGACTTTGGCTCCATGGCGATTGAAATGTATGTATGTGATCTGAGCGACATTCGATAGTAATGTGCACTCAGATCTAAGCTATCTGGGGATATGTAGTATGCATATTTTTTATGTAATAAATGTAACTGTATGTAATTTTATGTCTTTTACTGAAAATGTGTGTAATGGAGTTTTGCCTCTGTCCTTGGAGATAATTGGATTACTTCCCAATTATCTCCAGGACAGAGAGGAGGGATTGTGATGCATTGTGGGATGGTTGAAATGTGTAAGTCTGTGATTGGTTCTTGTACCCTTTGTGTCCCAGTTTCCCATCTGGTCCCCTAGGGGAGTGTCCACCAGGTGGGAGACCTGCATAAAAGCTGGGCAGTTAGCCCCAGTAAACCAGATTCTGCTTGACCCTCAAAACAAAGTGTCGTCTCGTCTTTGGGGGGATTTACTGTATGCTGTTAGAGACTGATTGCCAGGAGTGTAAGCCACTTGAGTGCTTTTCCTGTTCGTCTGCTAACAGCTATTCGTGTGTCTCCAGTTCGGGAGTTTGGAGTGCTACTTGGTATGCAGTTCGGGAGTTTCGAGTATTCCCTTGGTTGCAGTTCGGGAGTTGGTGAATTTGTGGGTTTGCAGTTCGGGAGATTGGTGCTTGCAGTAGCTGTCTGTACATCTGAAAAAGGGGAATATTGTCTAAACGGTTTTTAACCTCTTGTGTGCAAAACAGTCCGTTACAACTGTCATGTCGAACTTACCTTTTCCCAATCGATTCCTCTTCTCTCTCTCTGTCAGGGTCTGTTCTTAATTTCTTCCTGTCTCCTCTAGTTTTCTTTAAAATCATAAGACAAAGTAGGGACTATTTGTCTTATGGAGGTTTATTACGCCTGACCAGCTATGACCAGCGGAGGAGCAAAGTGTGCTTCATTTCCGGTGATCAGAACAATTTTCCCACAATTCTCACCTTTCCTCTGTGTTCCTGCGAAGCCTCCTTTCACATTTTCCGAACGTCACTTAGACAGAATGCCAGTCAAACTACCGAATTGTGTCCTAACAGAATGAGAACATTCGGGACTTTGTTCGTATCAGAATTTCATTCTAATGAATGAAATTCCGATCCTATTCAGGCCACGGCTGCATCTTAGTTCCCACAGTATTAGGGAGCTATCTACCTAAATTGGTCTTTCAGCCAAATTTACTAATACTAAGTAAAGATTACTGTAGCTGCTCACTGTTAATAAACAAAAAAACGAAATCCTAGTATCCCCCCTCCCCAGCCCTCACCCGTGCCGTATGAGTGGGGGCTATTAAACTGAATGGGGACCTATTGCCCACCCTGACCCTCACTCCTGAGTGGTGGGTGGGTCCCTAACTGAAAAGGGGGGGCCTACTGTTCTCCCACCAGCCCCTGTCCCCAAGCCCCTAGACACTCCCTACCCCAAAAAAATTACTAAAACCCCTACCTAACCCCCGTACCCTAAAAATAGGTAGGGGTTTTAGTAATTTTTTGGGGGAAACAAGAGAACTAAATACCTGAAAAAAATGAATAAAATTTACCATTTGATATCTTCTTTTTACTAAAATGCTCTTTTTTCAGCCCCAGAAAAGGCTAAATAAAAATCCATAATACCCGTCGCACTTTGAAAATAAAATAAAATAAAAAACCCGAGCGCAAAAAAAAAAAAGACGACGCTAAGAAAGTCATCCATCTTCACCCATGGAGGGCAAGGTGCCCTCTTTGGAAATTCCCCATGCTGTGTAATTTTACTCATAACAACAGTCTGATAGGTTGCTTTCAATCAACCAATCAGAGAGTTATTAGTCAAATTACACAGCATGGGAAATTCCAAAGAACTTTCCCACGCTGTGTAAAATGACACAGAGCACTCTGGTTGGATTTCAAGCCAACCAGAGTGCTGTGACAGGTAAATTTAGAGAGTTTCCTTTCAGTCTCTTCATTTACCTGTCAGAGCACTCTGGTTGGTTGGCTTAAACCAACCAATCAGAGAGCTCTGAGCCTAATTGCAGGGTGTGGGAAGGCTTTCTAAGCCTTTCCCCGCCCTGCGGAGCTCAATCTGTGCCGTGCCCTCCATGGAGCTCCCTCATGCTGGTGACCTCTCTTCCCCCTGCCGTCGTCAGCTCCTGAGTGGAGCCGAATGTGCATGCACAGCCAGAGGCGTTCGCACATTCAAACTTGCACATAGGAAAGCATTACTAAATGCTTTCATATGGGGATCTTATTTGACGATGAACTCTGTGAGAACGTCCAGCGTCATTTCAGTGTGATTTACTCACTGAGAATCATGGAAGTGGCCTCTAGTGGCTGTCAGGGAGATAGCCACTAGAGGCTGGATTAACCCTGCAGTGTAAACATTTTCAGCTGCAGGGTTAAAACTAGGGGGACCTGGCACTCAGACCACTTGATTGAGCTGAAGTGGTCTGGGTGCCTATAGTGGTCCTTTAACCTCAATAAAAATCAGATTGGCAAAAAAAAAATGTTTGTCTCAACATGATGAAAAACAGGTTTTATTGTGATTTTTTTTTTTAAAGCCATTTAATAATTAATATATGTTATTCAATGTTCAAGTCATAATTCATTATTCATTGCTTTCTCTTAATCTAATGTCTGCATTGGTCTCTATCTCTTTATAATATAGGAAGCTTTGGTTAGGTTTGTGACCCTACATTCTGAGGACTTCAAAACAAAAATATAATATTTAAAAAAAGAATGCTGTTACTTGATGATGGTAGTAGTGCATTGCATAATTCAGAATGCTAGCGATGAAATGTAATATACCTCTAGCCCCAGTTGTAACATTTTAATAGTAAAGAAAGGGTTAAATATATATTTTGTTCTTTTATATAACTTTGTTACTGTTGCATAAGATCATTTTTTATGGTTCTAAAGGCAATTTCTACATTTCCCTGATTCCCAAAATGGATTTAAGCCAGTAATTGACTCTGTGTTACATTTCAGAAATGACCCAATTACCTTTTTTATGCACATTGTATCATTGTATACATTCACACGTGTAAAAACAGTTTTGCTTTATAAAAAATAAATATTCCAAAATCTAAAAATATATATATATATATGTGCTGTAAAAATAGTACAGGGTAAGCTCTGCTATATTATTTGAAGAAGGGAAAACTCACACTCAGTGAAATATAAAATACCCACTGCAAATACATTCAAAATCATTTCGAGTGAAAATATATAGAAAAATAAGTAAGCTTTTTTTCCTGTTAATTAGAAGTGAACTTGCAACCAATTTGCCATGCCTGTCATTTTTCCGTAGCTTGAGGCTATCTGTCATATTAGAAACTCATTCTAATTGATACTCCAAACCTTAATAGAAAAATGTTTTGCAATTTCTTAGGCTTTGTGGCAGTGTGCTCGATTTCTTAATTGCCTTGTACACATTGTTACCTTCTTTGTCTGTCATTCCCATAAAAGCATGATCATTTTATCCTTGGTCATTCTAAGCAAAACTGGGAAAACAATCAACAACCATTCTGTTACACGAGCTAAATGCTGCACTTCTGGGTTCCCAGCAACATGCCTCTTCTATTAGCCTTATCACAAAAGTCAAGGCAGAAGGTTTGCTGTATAGAATCCATTATATAATCAGCAGTTTAACACTGACTTCATTAGTTCATTTAAACTGTGAATTGTCACTTTAAAATACATTAATATTCTCTCCAACACTTACAATTTAAAAGCAGAGTACTAAAACACTTAACTCGACTCCTCATTAGTCCATATCTGGTGTGTGCTGAGGTTTTCATAGTGGAATGAGATAATTAGTAGATAACATAAATATTGATTGCAATCATAGCAAATGTATCAGGATTTTTTTTTTCTTTTTATCAGTTTTTTGTGAGTCTTACTATAAATTATTTCTTTGTAATATATTTGCAATGCATGTGTTGTTCTTAATAGGTTGGTGGCAGAATTCAGTCAAGTTCTTTTCTAATGCAGCAGATTTCCAGAATGTGTAAAAGAATAAATTCAAATTTAAACTAGAATTCTTTTCAAAGCTCTTTAAAAAATAAAATAAAAAAATTGAATCCTATTTAATAAATTCTTTGTTGTATGCTTATAATTTCAATTACTTGTAAACGTAGGTAGCTTTTAGCATGAGATACCCATGCTGTGACATCAAAACACATACTGTCCTCCAATCCCTTCAAAATACAATCTCTCTAATACCTACCTAACCAATCACACCCACGTAGCTACAGTTATACAATGACACCGACACACACCAGCACACACACTCACTGACATTTTCACATACTGACCACTACTGTCAATTCTTGCGCAGATATTGTATCACCATGGAGTAGTGAGAGCTGCATGTCACCCAACAAAAATACCACCCACTTGTTAATAGCAGACAGATAACCTTACACTTACTAATACTTGCTGATCCAATGGTGAGCACTTTAGAGTCAGGAAAAATTATTTACACTATTGGAATTAATTTAAAACAACCAACAGTAATATATATGTATGAACGAATGAACTTGATTGTTTTTCCCAGCCTATATTACTATAATAAATATAAATATAATTATCAAAAGCATATCAATTAAACTGTTAATGGCTCAAAGAAACCCCACACTGTCTTCATTGAATACTACTACCAATACTATTACCAATTTACTTCCCTTATGTCACTTTTCTCCACTCCCTCTAGCATCTAAGCTCATTGAGCAGGGCCCTCAACCCCTCTGTTTCTGTGTGTCAAACTTGTCTGGTTACAATTACATGTTTGTGTAACGAGAATATACCCCAACACGCAGGATTCAGCTAAACAAAAGACAACACAGAGGAGAGATACGTCTACCGGACCTTAGAATGGCCGGACTCGACGTATATGAGAGGAGACAGAGTCAGGAACAATCCGAAATCAAGGGCACAGAGAGACAGCGTAAACTAGGACAAGCCGGGGTCTGGTACACAGTAAACAACAAGCCGACAACCAGAACAGAAGGATAAAGAGAAAACGTAGTCAGAAACAAAGCCAAGGTCAATACGGAGAAACACAACTGAACACAACAAGCGCTAAAGGGAACTGATACAGAAACCATGATAGGGCAGGGAGTAAAGGGAGAGGTAAGTTTAAATAGCTTCAAAACTAATGTGATTGGCTCCTGTCATATCCACACCCCCAAAAGGTAAGTGTATGGGGAGTGTGGCATGACAGGGGCCAATGGGAGCCTTTTGACAATTTAGGCTCCCACTGTCTCTTTAAGAGCGCGCCCGAGACTCGCGGCGCGCTCTTAGATTCAGGCGGGACACGTGACCGCTTCTCGCGGTCACTGCCCGCCTTGCTAGTGGAGCCGTCGGATGAGCCGCGCGCGGCTCGTGCAGCAGCAGGACCGCGCGCGGCTTGAAGAGAGGACCGCGGCCGGCCCCTGGAGAAGGTGAGTAACGCTACAGTTTGTTAGTCCACCCATTGTAAAGCGCTACCGAATTTGTTGGCACAATATAAATATTAAAACAATAATAATATCCACTGTAATCTCAAGTGTGCCCATATTTTTATCAAGCAGTATTATTATTAAAGGAACACTATGGGGTTAGGAATACAAACAAAGTTTGTCCCCCCGATGAAGTTCCATAGGAATGCTGCAGCATTAGAGAAGTCTTGAAGACGTGCGGGTATGAACTGAGGTTAGACACAGAGGCAGGGTATAGGGAATTGGATGGGACATACTTTTGTATTAGTGAGGATAGGTAAGCAGGACTTATAGTGGTTTATAAGGGAGGAACAGAATTTTAAATATATCCCAATATCTTAAATGAATGAACAGGCAGCTTCATACAAACTAACCTTACTCTTTCAGTGGTTTTTTTCTTATTAAAGCCGTTTGTTGTCATTGATCATATTGCTGATGGAACTCTACGCCTCATCTAGAAGGATCATGCAATGGGAATTCAGTGGTTTAATCTTGGAGTCCATCTGGGTTTCCTACCCTTATAAGAGTTTTAATAAACCTTGTATACCGAGTTTCAGATAGAATACA